TGGACCAGGTGGAGCAAGCCAGACGGTACACCCTTTTCTCCACATCTACCTGGCCGCGGTCCCCGGAATTCGCGTGAAAGCACGCCATACATGACGCCCTTTTGGTATTCTCATCACGAGATGTATGCCACCGAGCCCTTTACACCGGACTGGGTCGACGAATGGAGCGCGCACGTATACGGCGACGCGCAACCGGACCCGGACGCTACGATCGGCTACTCCGCCATGGCTTTTACAGAAGCGGGCTACCTTCTGCCCCAGCAAAATCGCTTGAGCGCAGTTGGCGGCGGACAGGAAAGATGTGGCCTACGGGCCTTTCCATTCGTGTCCGTCCCCAATGTGCTCCTGATTCTGCTGGGACAGATGGTGGCCATTTGCAAAGCCCTTTGTGCTGTGTGCCCATCCCTGGGCATTGTGTGCGTGCTCGCACTCCTGGTGTCTGTCACTGGGGACAGCGAGCACACTGCAGCCACAGCTGCAACAGTAGCATCACCCCCACCCTCTAAGACCATAAGTGACCCTAGTCTTGGTTCTTTTCTGGGTTTCGCTAGGGGATTAAGCAGGCCGCAGGGTTTAACTCTAGTGGCTTTTTCTCTTATCATAGTGGGTTGGGGTGCAGCGTTCATGCACATGATTCCCGGCAGCGCAGTTCCCAGGATGCCCCCGGCATGGTCCCCGGACATGGCCCACAGATATCCCTTCCGTCACTGGGCCCAGGATGTCCTCACGTGGTCCATCGCGGCAGAGGGTGATCCTTCGCGAAAGGCGGCTCTCCTGACTATGAGCCTCAAGGGAACTGCCTACGAGTTTTGCCGTACCATACCGCCTATGACCCTCATACACGGGGGGGCCATAAATGGCCATCATGTAGACCCACTCACATACATCATGCATGCCTTGGCCGAGCGATTTGCTGACCTGGGTGAAGAACTGAGGTTGACCAGTATCACAGACCTGTTTAACTTTAGTCGCCAAGGCAATGAAAGGATCGACGAATTAATCACCCGGTTTGACTTGATTCGTCAACGCTCTTTTGATCTGGGACAGCTCACGATGTCAATCACCGGACTAGCATACATTCTTTTGCGCGCCTGCGAAGTCAACGACTCGGAGTTGTTGCAGCTTCTGTTGCCTCTCCAGGGCAGATTCCCTAATGATGAACAGGAGTTCCAGGTCCTGAAGACCCAGCTCCGTAGGATGGGACACATAGTGGAACACTCTCCAGGTAACATAGCTGCAGCCCTAAGAGGACGTAACTCCCAACCCCAATACCTCGCCACGGACCCCAGTGTCAGCACTGCCGAGCACCATGCAGCGTACATGGCTCACGGGGCAGCAGAGCAGTCCAGCAGCGCCACCGCTAGTTGGGGTTATGGGGGAGATGAGTTTAGCGGTTCGGGGTTGCAGTTCGAGGTCCAGCAACAGAGTGCCTTCCTTGCTGATCTCGAGTCTGACGGGGCCACCGACACGGACACTGCATCATCGACCGGCCATACTGAGGTCCCGAGTGCCACTCCCGAGGGCTGGACAGATGAGGCGTCGTTGCAAGAACATCTGTTCTGGTCCTACAGCCGCGCAAAGGCCACCTGGCGAAAGTACATGGGTCGTCCCACGCGCGCTGTGCGCCGCTTCACCAGGCGGTACATCGGCCGGCAGAGTGGCAAGGGCAAAGGGAAGAACAAATCCTGGGGAAAGGGCAGGCGGCCAAATGTTGCAGCATTCCTTGCCTCTCTAGACGACGAGGAGGTAGCCATGATGTTCCCGGGCTTCAAGGGAAGAAAGGGCAAGGGCCGGGGCAAGCGCTCCAATGGCAAGGGCAAGGGTCGAGCCCGCAATCCGCTGGGCAAGGATGGTCAAAGGATGCGATGCTTTAGATGCGGGAGCGAAAATCACTTGAGCCGTGAGTGCCACCTCCCGCGCACCGACGGGCATCAGCATCAAGTCAGCACAGCAGGCGCTGCCCCTAATCCAAATTTCTATGCCAGCACTGGCGTAGCTGACGAGATCCCTGCCCAAGGCCCTTTGGCAGATTTTGTGTTCATGGCCGTCCCCTCAGACCAGGCAGCCGGGGACACAGACAGTTCCTGGTCTTTTGCCACAGACAACGATGCGTGGGCCACCTATCTTCGCAGTCGGGGTGCCTTCCACCCGCCAAGCAGCAACGCGCAAAGCTCCCAAGCACAGGCAGGCGCACAGGCTTCCGCAAACACTGCTGGGTCCATGCCCCACCCCCCTCATATGGGTTATAGTGGTTTAGGCCCTAACCCGTGTGCACGTGGACCCGGCCCGCAGGTGCCTCCAGGTATGCAGGCAGGTGCACAGGTTTCCTCACAAGCTTGCGCCGGATCCATGCCCCATTCCCCTCATATGGGTTGTAGTGGTTTAGGCCCTGACCCGTGTGCGTGTGGATCCGGCCCACAAATGCCTCCAGGTACACAGGCAGGTGCACAGGCAGGCGCACACGCTTCGCCCCCACAGGTGCCTCTTCCACCAGTCGCCACGCAGGTCATTTGGACCCAGTCGCCCCCCACGCTACCAACGTGGGCGCAAATGCCTTTGTTCAGCTTTCTGCAACCTACTCACCATGAAGCCCCCGCCCACGTACCTCTGGTGGGTGGGCTGCATGGGTCTGGAGAACCAGGCCTGTCTTCCTTAGAGGGGCCCGCCACCCAGGCCATAGATGGCCTGGCCGCAACAACTGTGCTCACCACGCGACGATGGTTGGGGGAAGCCATAGAGGGTGAGCCAGGCATGGGCATCGTGTCAAGGCTTGAAGGAGCGCAGCAGGGCCAGATCGAAACCTTTCGTCAGGCCCAACAGGTGGTGCAAACCCGACGCTCGCAACAACGCAACAGGCATCGGCGTGTGATCCAAGTCCCTGACACCTGGGATCATCACGACTACGATGCCCTGGATGACAGCTGCGCCCTCTGTCGTGAGGAGTATCTGGAGAGGGACAGTGTGGTGCGGCTTGTGTGCCGGCATTTGTACCACACTGCATGTTGGACTGAATACCTCATGCACCCTCAAGCTCGCATGAGCTGCCCTGTGTGCCGCGGTTCTGCCCGAGTCATAGCTCGCTTCTCGTATAGAGCTGACTACGAGACGCCAGGTCCTTCGCAGCCAACCTCTGAGCATCCCTCCCGAGCAGCGTCGGAGGAGAGCCGTGCGACAGATGCAGGCGCGCGCACGCCCACACGTAGACCCGAGACCTACGAAATGAACACTCCGCCTCCAGCCGCCGCAGCTGATGAGGAGCCTGGAGAGTCCCCGTACAACTTCGAAGCCTTCCACGCTAGCCGCATTTTCCCATGGTGGCCCAGTGTTCCTGAGTGCGAGGGCTCCCAGGCCATGGTCCTGCATAGCACTAGCCACCAAGACTACCAATGCATCCTAATTGATCCTGGTGCCTACACCAACCTTGCAGGTCTCCGCTGGGTACGCCAATTGGCCCACAAGTGCAGCAGCCTTGGACTTCCGGTCACGCAACGGCAGCTGAACGCACCCCTTTCCATAGCAGGTGTAGGACAAGGTACCCAGCAATGCACTTGGTCAGTAAAGCTGCCCATTGGTGTTCATGCCATCAAGGATGGAGAGGAATGCAACTCCAGATGCCATTTTGAGGCACCTGTTGTGGGTGGTACAGGAGCAGGCCTACCCGCTCTCCTTGGCCTTCGTTCCCTCCGCGCCAAGAATGCCATTTTAGTCTTAAGTGAACGAGATGAGGATCTCAAGCTTCTGATCCCGGGCCCTGGAGGATGGGAGTATGAGCTAAGTCCAGGTTCTGTCGAGCATCCACTCATGACGGCACCGTCCGGGCACCTCCTCATGAGGTGTGATGTGTTTGAAGACCACAGAGTGACTTCATTAGACACACCAGGAGAAACCTTCCTTACCAGCCCGCTTCTTGGAGAGATTCCTGCCTCCCAGTCAGCGCAGGCTGACTTTGAACATGGGCTCACGCAGAGCCCTGATGAGCATGCCGTTGGCTATCCTATGGGTTCTGTTCCACGTGGGCCTGCGTCCAGCTTTGCCCTGTCAGAGCCTGCGCACGTATCCCCACCTCCTGAAACGGCCCATTTCACATCATCGCAAGCTCGTGCGCAGCCCAGATCCGAGGCATCCAGAAACCGCTCCACGGAGTGACCTACAGCAGTCTGCAGGCGTCGGAAGCACGCGCTCAGCAGGCTCTTGCTGACAGAGATCTCACCGCAAAGCGTTGCGAGGCGCTTTTGCAGCGCACTCCTTTCCCAGCCAGAACCCACGTGCGCTCTGCGCAGCAGGCTAAGAACCCGTCAAAGAGCCTTACTCTAGGTTTGTACACCCACGGAAACCAAATAGGGTTAACTATAAATAGTGATAGGTATGCTGCTCTTTGCCGGTTTCTGAACCTGTTTCTCAGAGCGAGCCACCCCAAGGTCACGTGGACCTCGCTGCACATCAACTACAACTCCCCAGGCAGTTGCCATCGTGACAACCATAATTTATGGGGGTCTGTCAATGTGACAGTCAGTCTTGGCCCCTTCTCAGGAGGCGAAGTTTGGCTGGAAGTATCCCCTCAAGAGGCTGCTACAAGCTCCTCCATACGGTGGTTGACGAAGAACGACGGTTCCAAAATCCCTGGCGTGGCAGTCAGCACACGTTGTAAGCCTCTTGCTTTTTGTCCTAAACTGAGCCACGCCGTTTTACCTTGGAAGGGCTGTCGTATCTCTGTGACGGCTTACACTAGCAGGGGAGTGCCGTACGCTCAAAGACAATTACTTCGAGCCCTTCAGGAACTTGAGTTCCCTTGTGTGCCTTTAAAGGAACCTGCGGAATCAGCGCAACAGTTTGCAGCGGTTACACAGGCACCAGGCACCCAGGGGGCCTCTTCTGACCCAGCGCCTGTCACGCAGCGCCCTGCTGGCGATCCCGCTCCGTCCAACTTCAGCCCCGCAGTCACGGCAGGCATAGCTGTGGTAGTGGAAGAGACTCCCTCGGTCTCTCTATGTCTGCAGCAAATGGGCTGGCAGGTGGCGCAATACCACCCCAGCCATGTGAACTCTTCGAGCACTGCAACTTTGTCTCAGCGCCTTAAAAGTATGCACATACAAGCCTTGTGGCTGGACCTTCCAATACCAGGCCGGCACGTGCATAAAGACCGCTTGTCTTCCCACATGACCCAGCTATGTGTGTGGCTTCGTCTTTGCCACGAGCTGGGAATCTCCGCGGTCTTGTTTGGGCCCCATGGCAAGGGTTGGTTGGCCCCTGGTGTGCAGGATCTCCTTGCCAGGGGCCAGGTTCGTAAGGTTTATCATAGGCTTTGTGCTTGGGGTTTTAAGATAGATGCTACGCAACAGGAGCCCAGCTCCACAGCCTTTGTCACTGCCAGCACCTTTCCCCTCTCAGGCAACCCGTGCGTCTGTGAACGGGGTGTTCAGCACAAGCTTGATTGGGTGGTGACCTCCCAACCCCATCAGCGCCGCCTCAGAGCCCAAGCACATGCAGCAGTATCCTTTCGCGTGGCCGCGCAGTGGCTTGCTCACGTGCCTTCCCACGCGCCCTTGGCGCAGCAACTCAGACCGAGCACACCCGACACAAATCCGGCTCGACTTTCCCCCGCCCGATGTGACGCTGATTTGCGTTTGGTCCCAAACTTTTGCGAGCCGGATGGCGACCTCTCCAGGCCGTTCTTTTCCGCATCGATGAAAAGGGCAACTGCCCCAAGTCAGGAGTCCGTTGCTGGCCACTCGGCAGCGAGACGGGCTGAAGCCCCAGACTCCCACTTGTCGATGCCCAAAGCCTTGCCTGGCCCCTCAACCGAGTCAGCTTTTCCAACTGAAGCCCGTATCCAACAAAAGGCCCACCTGAAAGCCCTCAAAGCTCAAGGCCTTAAGCCCAAGACCCGCAAGGTAGTTGTCGAGGACCACCACGACGACTGCGGCACCAGCCTCGCAAGCCTGGCTGCCTATCTGCCGAAAACGGAGACTGTACATCTAGCCCACTGGGCCCTCTACCAGCACTCGTACAATCTTCCACCATATTGGCTTTTGGGCTCGTCGGCAGGGCCAGGCCTACCGCCGCAACCGACCTCGTGTTTCCTGGCCAGCAGCTTCGAGCATGCGCTGCAAACCTTGAGTCAGTGGCCAAAGGGCGACTCTGAAATATGTGTCCTTTCAGGAGGCCATGCCCAGCAAGCGTTGTGGTGCGTAAGGAGACGCGTGGGATCCGGAAGGTACCTTAGTCTAGCGACTATACTAGATCCTACGGTTGCTAAGTGTAGGACTGGTTTAAGATCCTACGTGCTCTCCTCACGCCCACTTGTGTGTGTCCTTCTCCCTACGTGGCAAAACCATGCCCCCAACCCACTGACGCCAATTTGCGAGGAAATGGCCACAACCCAGAAACTGCAGTCCCGACACTTTATCTGTGAGCAGCCCTGGATTGGCCGACCGACGCACTCTCCCGCCTGGTGGCAGTTCCTGCAGTCCTCACAGCACATCCACCAGGATGTTTCTGACAGGTCCGCGTCATACACTTTCTGGGCCACCCACGCCTACCTCCTTAAGCCACTTCAGGACCACCCGTGGTGTCCTGAAGCGCAAAAGCCACCTCAAATGTGGAGCAACGCGCTAGCTGACAGCGTGATGGATGGCCTCAGCCTCTTATGCACAGCCGAACAACTCACCCAAGCCTTTCCCTCAGCTGCTGTGGGGCCGGATGAAAGGGAAGCCGCGCCGCCAACCGAGGTGCCTGGCGAAGAGTGGTGGAGGAAGTGCCCCGGATGCCGCGGACGCCAAAATCAGCATGATGACCGGCACAACCGCGTCCCAGGCCAATGCAAGTACCCCCACTCTGAAAGCATATCCTGGAAATGTGAGGGTTGCCGTTTTCACAGACCGCGCGGACACCCCACTCACACTATGGGGCCAGATTGCAAGCATGTCTTGGTGGAAGAACGCAAGGGTGTCCCGCGCCGAGGCAGGCACCCACGAGCCCCAGCTCGCAAAGCTGTTGATGATCCTTCTCGTGATCTACAGGCGCAACTCCCTGACGGTACGGATCTTGGCCAAATTGAGGAAGATGAAGCTGCGCGGGTTCCTGAGCCCAAAGACGCTTCTTCCAGTGCAGCCCTCCCTTCGGATGTGGAGGAAGCGGACTACGCGCCTTCAGACGCGGAAAACGCAGCTCCGGCAGCAGCATCTGCAGCTCCCTCTGATCTGCCCGCTCCAGCAGAAATATGCAGAAAGCCTGCGCCTCGCAACCGCAGGGTCTTTCGTGAGGCAGGCGTAGGACACGAAGTCCCCTCGGACTGGACTCGGTTTGATATAAGCCGCTCCATGCGCGTTCTCCGGGTTGGAAATGAGAGGGCTATCCGTACCGAACTACGTAAGCTACACCTACGCTTCTGGCACTGTTCACGCCAGGCATTGGAGCAAATCCTCAAAGCAGCGGGCGTTCCTCAGCGTATCATAGCGTACGTGCCCGACATAATAAACACCTGCCAAGAATGCCGTAAGTGGCAGCGCCCTGGCAATGCCACTCAACACGCGCTCACCGCTAGCCTCAAGTTCAACCAGCATGTGGAATTTGATCTCCTGTTCTACCGTTCGTTTGTGGTATGCCATCTTGTGTGCCGGGCCACTAGATGGCACGCAGGTTGCGCCATACCAAGCAAAGACGGAGAAGTGCTATACGAGAGTATCAACACGTGCTGGATTGGGCTCCACGGCCCAATGCAGCAGCTGATTGCCGATGGCGAAACCGGCCTATGGAGCGATGCTATCGCCCACCGCATAAAACGCCAAGGCATCGAAATGAAGCTGCGAGCTCCACAGCAGCATGCGCGCTACATTGAGCGTCGCGGAGCCATACTACGGGCCACTCTTCATGTGATGGAAGAACAGCTTGAGCGCGAAGGATTGGTCTACGCGTTTCCAGCCCTGCTGGCCGAAGCCATCTTCGCCGGCAACGCACTGGTGCATATCGGAGGCAGCACTCCGTACCAGGCGGTTTATGGCAGGCAGCCTGCCATGTTGCCCCCGCTTGAAATTCCTGACATGCCCGAACGCGAGCAAGTTGGCGAAGCTGGGGACAGGCAGCGTGCCTACATCCGTGAAGCAGCATTGCAAGCCATGATCCAGGCCACCAGCCTGGCACGCATCAACAGAGCGGCGCACACGCGCACATCTCCAGATAGCACCCGCGAGTTCAAGGTAGGGGATCTAGTTGATGTTTTCCGGAAACCGCCCAGTAAAGATGCTTCAGGTTGGTCGGGTCCGTACAGGGTTACTGAGTCCTTGCCAGGCCAGGTCCTAGTGAGGGTCAACGGCCAGAAGCGCACATACAGGAGTCAGGATGCACGCCTGACCCTCTTAGTCCTGTACACCGCCAACCAGCCTTCAGCATGGCCTGAGTGTATGCAAGTTGTCACAGAAGCCTTGATGGGTCTGCAGCAGGGACAGTCCGCGTTGTATGGCTTTGCTAACTCCCCCACAGGTGGCTGCGTGCTTTCCAAGGCCACACGTCAAGCGCCGCAAGTGCTACACGCGCTTGAGTTCCTCTTCACCCACTGCTGGCGCCTCCCTGAGACCATCGGCGCGCGTCTTGCCCGCGGCGCCAAGAGTCTCAGCGCCGTAACTTTGGCGTCACACTCCACCTTAATCTTGTGGCAAGCAAACATAGACCAAGATGTCCAGTTTAGCAGTTTGCAAGGCACTAAGGTTAACCTTTTAGAACTACTAGGCAACAGTTATAGCTCTAGTTTAGTGGTTCAGGCCTTGCACGCTGCCGATCAGGACATCACTCTTGCCGATGCCTGTGACGAAGCTGCCGACCTCAACCATGAACCTTCCTCAGAAACCGCGCTCCCGTCCAGTGACACAGAACCCCCTTCGATCCACACGCCTCAGGGCCAGCTGTCCACCATATCTGAGGGTGATGAGGCAGAAGATGCAGTTCACACCTTCTTGTTGTCTTGCCCGGCAGAGCAGCCTGCTCTGACTGAGACACTGCGTGTGCTGTTTGCCTTGTCTGAGTCCGAAACTCTGGAGGCAGCAGCAGAGGGCCCCGAAAACGCCCACGTGCCATATTTCGAACCAGTCGACCCTTGTACTACCGCCATACTGGACCCTTACGTGCACTACCAGTCTGCTCAAGTTGCCACTAGTCACTACGGTTCCCTAGACTACCACGACCTAGCAGGGAATAAGTGTGTAGAACTGTGGTTTACTAAGGGTATGGCCAAAATTGTTGGGGATGATAGCGGTTTGGCGCCTGATGAAACGTATGCTTTAAGAGTTTATGCCACGGGCTACCGACAAGCAGTCATCCAAAGGGAAACCGACCTGCTGACCCCTCAAGACATGCAAAAGCATCAGCCCATGGTGGCAGCAGCTGCTTTGGAGGAGCTGCAAACATGGAACAAGTACAAGTGTTTCAAAAGGGTGCCTAGAGCCACTGCAAAAAACGTCATGGACAGCAAGTTCGTGGCAAAATGGAAAATGGTTCAAGACGCGCAGGGCAAGGAGCAACGGATCGTAAGGATGCGACTTGCGCTGCGTGGTTTTAAGGACCTCCGAGAGGGCCTTGAAAATTTCGCAGCAACAGGATCCCGGCAGTCACAGCGGCTGCTGAGCTCCGAGGTTGCCTGCCATCCGGGATGGAAACTGGTTGCTGTAGATGTAGCCAAAGCCTTTCTGCAGGGCATGACATACCAAGAAATGAGCAAGCTCACGGGAGAAGCCGAGCATGAGGTCCATTTTGATCTGCCAGCTCGTGAGGCTGAGTACCTTAAGCAAGTGCCAGGCTTCGAAGGTTTTGACCCTCGCAAGGAGACGCTAAAGTGCTTGAAGCCTGGTACGGGGTGCCGTGATGCGCCCCGTGCTTTTGCTCTAAAGCTCGCACAGTTCACCCGGTCCAAGGAGATCGGTCTTCAGCCTTCCTTGTACGACTCCGAATTGGAATATAAGCACGTAGGCGGCCGCCTCGTGCTCATTCTTGTAAAACACGTCGATGACCTCAAGATCGCCGGGGAGCCTCGCGAAGTGGATGCGTTGGTAGCACACCTTGAGTCCGGTTTTGGCAAACTAGCCTACCAAGAAAACAATTTCACCGTGTGCGGCTTGACACATGTCAGGCACAGCGATGGCAGCATCGAGATGAACCAGGATGCGTACTTGGCAGCCATGCGGCCTATACAGCATCCAGAGCTAACAGGCAGGGCCAGCAATGAGCCGTGTACGCCAACTGTGCACGGCCTGTTTCAGAGCCTTCTTGGCGCAGTTGCATACAGCCTGCTTTCGCAAGCGTGGGCTGCCGTGTTTGTGGTGGCTCTCCAGCGGCATGCTGCTGCGCCCACCAATCTGCATGTAAGGCGTTTGAACCTTCTGTTGGCCGCCCTTCAAAAGCAGAAAGCAAAGCTGCACTTTCCGGCCATGACTTGCGCACGCCGTATAGTCGTTTTTTCTGATGCGTCCTTCAGCAAAGAAAATGAACAGAAAGGCTACGGCATGCGTGGGGCAGTGTTTTTGCGCATGGGCACTTTCAACGGCCAGGAGCGCTGCCATTTCTTAGAGGCTCACTCGCAGAGCTTGAAGCTGGTCACCCGCAGCACCTTTGCTGCCGAAACACTGGCAGCCGTGGGTGCAGTTGACACCCTTACAGCTCTGTTGGTAACCCTCCAGGAAGTGGCTTGCGGCACACTGACCATTGCAACTGCTCGTGCCCTAAGAGAGCAGGGCGACTTTGCTTTTACCTCCGAACTTTGTATAGACGCCATGAATCTGTACTACGCGCTATCAGCGGCATATCCCAAGTTACCAGCCGAGAAGGCTCTATTCATACATATAGCCTGGCTGCGGGACTTTATCCGCGTTAAGATCCCCAAAGTAATATCTTGGGTTGACACTAGGGACATGCTGGCTGATGGCTTAACCAAGGGCAAGGTAGATCGTACAGCATTGCTAAATGCAATGAAGGGTGTTGTGAAACTAACACACCCGAAAACTTCTACCAGGTAGGGCGCTGCATGCAGTTAACGACTTTCTGTACAGCACAGCAAACTCGACGAGCACACCCGACTTGTAGGGAACCATCTAGCCTGTATGGCTGTATCGGTTGTATAGCCAACTCTATGGGTGCGCGAAGCCGAGCAGCTGTTCAAATCGTAGTTACCAAGCCTGAAAGGTAGCAAAATGAAGCCTTCCGTGGTGACATGTTTTCTGCTACTCCTTGTCTTCGGACTCTTTGTGTAGATGACAAGATGTTACGTACAAGAGCTCTTGTACATCATAGTGAGGTTTGCCTTTCTTTTAAGAAGGGTTCAGGCGAGCTTCAGATGTTCGAATCCATGCCTCAAGCCATATAAACCTTACACAAGCCCTCATACCTGAACCCTAGACACAAACTCAGGGCTCCTACTCGCTACCTCCGTATAACGCCACATCGAGCTAAAAAGGCTGAGATCTGAACCTCCTCCCCCACCCCCTCACCATCTGCTCATGGCTACGGACGCTGAACCCTAGACCCGAAAACCCTAAACCCTAAATCTTAAACCCTCAGCCCTAAGCCCTAAGCCCTAAGCCCTAAGCCCTAAGCCCTAAGCCCTAAGCCCTAAGCCCTAAGCCCTAAGCCCTAAGCCCTAAGCCCTAAGCCCTAAGCCCTAAACCCTAAACCCTAAACCCTAAACCCTAAACCCTAAACCCTAAACCCTAAACCCTAAACCCTAAAACCCTAAAACCCTAAACCCTAAAACCCTAAACCCTAACAACCAAGCCCTCAACTTGCAGTTCAGATCCTTCAAGGTTTGTGCCGGCGAACTACATGGGCCGAATCTTCATCGGCTCATTCTCGCCCGACCTCAACTTTTCGGCGCCTTGCCTTAAGGGTGGGAGGGTTCGGGGCTTAGGGCTCGGGGTGTATGGTTTGGGGTTTAGGGTTTAGGGTTTAGGGCTTAGGGTTTAGGGTTTAGGGTCTAGGGTTTAGGGCCTCGGGCTTAGGGTTGAGTGGGCGCGTTTAAGTTTCGTTTTGTGATGCAGTCGTCTGTACGTTCGAACCATTTCGGGTTTGTGTTTCGTGTGCATCCTCATGCGATCGCTGCATCTCGAGAGGTGTGCCCCAAGCCCCGCACCGCACACACTAAACCCTATAAACTACGCCCGAAAAGCGCAGAGGTGCGAGTGAACGTCCTCCTCATACCTGCCTTCGTGGCGGTCGGCTGTGCACGCAGCTCCGACAGCTTTTCTTGCTGGATTTTGTCGGTTGTCGGGGAGCTTTTGCCTGAAACCCCAGCCCCCAATCCCCAACCCCAAACCCCCGACCCCCAACCCTCAAACCCCACCCCCCAACCCCAAACCTCAAACCCAAGCCCCAACCCCCAGCCCCAAACCCCAAACCCCAACTACTGTCTGCAGGCCCTAGATGTATAGGGTTCAGAGCTCCTTTCTCACCTTTCGCCCTCCCCTCCTGCCTGTTCTCCAGATCATGAAACCCCATGACAGAAAGGGGGTTCAGGGTGTGGCGGTTTAGGGCCTGGGGGTGCTGTTGCATGCTCTCTGCAAGCAGCTACGCCTTTGGAACACACCCCCCCCCCCCCCCCGCGCCCAGGTCTTCCCGACCCCTCTTATGCCAACTGCCTTGGGGTCATCTTGAACGAGGCGCGACTTTATCTTTTTCAAGCCCTTAAACCCTAAACCAAAAACCCTAAACCCTAAACCCCAAACCCCAGACCCTAAATCCTAAACCCTAAACCCGAAACCCGAAACCCGAAACCAGCGGAGAGCTCCCAGGCCATCGTCGTGGTATTCATGGCGTTCATCTTTGCGCAGATCAACTCCACCACTTACCAGCAGGCGCGTCTGGGGCTCAACCCTCAAAGCCTAAAGCGGTTTAGGGTTTAGGGTTTAGGGTTTAGGGTTTAGGGTTTAGGGTTTAGGGTTTAGGGATTAGGGTTTAGGGTTTAGGATTTAGGGTATACTCTCCCTCAGGTCGTGTAAGGCTGAGGGTTTCTAGAGCTCAGGGGGGCTCCTAGGAATGTTTGTGGGGGGTAGGAATGCCAACCCGAAGCGAGGACCGAAGCCCAAGGCTTCTTAGCGAGCCTGTCGGTTTAAGGGTGTAGGGCAGTTTCGGGTTCAGGTTTTAGGGTGTTAGGGTGGAGGGTTTGGGGAAGAGCCCTAGAAGCCTCGCAGCCCCAAACCTTGCACCCTAAACCCTGAAGGTGTACGAAATCAGGGAGCCCCTTAGATAGACTCCCGAATAGTAAGATCCCCGTACAAAAAGGGCCCAAAAAGGTACCGCTAATATCATAAACCCCCCCTTGGATCTAAACCCTCTACCCTAAGCCCTAAACCTAAACCTTAAACCCTGAAACCTGAAACCCTAAACCCTAAACCCTAAACCCTAAACCCTAAACCCTAAACCCTAAGCCCTAAGCCCTAAACCCTAAGCCCTAAACCCTAACCCCCCCTCAACCCTTGAATCCAAGAGAGCACGTGAGGAAGTTGCCACGATGGAGCTGGAAAGCAAGGCCTCTGAGCTGGAGATGAACATGAGCCTTGGGTCTAATCTAGGGTTTAGGGTTTAGGGTTTAGGGTTTAGGGTTTAGGGTTTAGGGTTTAGGGTTTAGGGTTTAGGGTCCATGGGTTACCTCGGGACCTCTTCCTCCCTTCTTCGGGGCTGTTGTTTTGAGTGCCTTCAAAACACCCCCCCCCCCCGCCAAAAAAAAAAAAGGTAATACCCCATATATTGCCCTTATAAGGAAGTACATTTTTTAAAAATTGTTTAAAAATTGTTGAGGGTTTTGAAAACGTAGTAGATGAGGATTCAGGGTTGACGGTTGTTACGCAGGGTTTAGGCTTGAGGGCTCAATGAGAGGGGTTCTAGGGCTCTTTTAGGGGTTTGGGGGGCTGGGCAGTTGGTAGGGGTTTCGGGTTTTAATCTAACGTGCATCAGGGTTGTTCGGCATTTAGGGTTTTGGTGCTGGGGAGGGTTGGTGGGAGTTTTGGGGGAGTTGTGGGAGTTTTGGCTTTCGGGTTTGGGTCTTGTCCTGTCAAGAAAGCTAACCGCACCCCAAACCCGCAAATCCCGAAACAACCATTAACAAAAAAGCATGCCTCCGCGGAATGCTACTCTAAAGCCGAACCCTAAAACACGAACTCTCTCAACCCTCTAAGAGTACTTTGGGACCTCAATCCCTTAACCGCCTAAACTTCAGAACTCTTCCCAAACACTGAATCCCAAACCCTTCAGACCCCATCCCCTTGACAAAGACTCGCGAAACCCATAGAACTTTGTGGAAAAGTTGAGCTTGTGGCTGTGTGCATCCAAAGCTGCTGGCCCCACACCCTAACACCCTGATCCCTAAACTCTTAAAACCCTAAACCCCCAAAACCTAGCTTGAACACTTAAAACCCCAATACCCTAAAACCTCTAGAACCCCCAAAAACCCTAACCCTTCACCCACAAGCTTAAACCCGAAAACCCTACAACATCCGGGACCCCAAGGACGGAGACGGAGAACATCCTCTCTGCAGCCCGGAAGCTCCTCTCAGTCACCTGCGACTGCTGCGAGAAGGTCTCCCACGAGTGGAGCATCATCGAGCCGTCTCAGAGGGTGCCGCGGGGTGTGTGGAAGGGGGGGATATGGGCGGTTTAGGGCTTAGGTAGGGTTGAGGGCTTCGAGTTTGGGGTTTGGGGTTTAAGGTTCGGGTGGGGGGGGGTTTAGGGTTTAGTCATGAGAGTTTAGGCTTTTAAGGCTTGCGAGGGCTAAGCCCTACAAAGTGCTTCGCCGGAGGGTACCAGTAACAAGGTAGGGAGCCTCCCAGGATGTTTAGAGAAACCGTGAGCCCTAAACCCTAAACCCGAAACCCGAAACCCGAAACCCTAAACCCTAAACCCTAAACCCTAAACCCTAAACCCTAAACCCTAAACCCTAAACCCTAAACCCTAAACCCTAAACCCTAAACCCTAAACTCCGCATAAAAGGTGCTCGAGTTGCTACGATATCCCGGGGCGAAGAAGGCAGGGAACCCACGGCCCCCAATTTAGGCCCCATGCTAAGGGTTTTAGGGTTTAGGGTTTAGGGTTTAGGGTTTAGGGTTTAGGATTTAGGGTTTGGGGTTTAGGGTTCAGGGTTTAGGGTTTAGGGTTTAGGGTTTAGGGGGGCGTTTAGGATCCCTTGTATCTGACTCAAGAGTTTAGGGGTTTAGGGCAGGCTCCCATTAAAACTTCAACCCCCCAATGCCCCTCTTGAATGTAGGGGTTTAGGGCTTCGGGAGTTAGGGAGTTTAGGGCTTGAGCTGTCTACCCTCAAGCCTCAGCCTTAAACCCACAGGGGTGTGTGAGGTTTAGGGTTGGGTGTAGATTTGGGGGGTTTTCCGATATTCGGGGTACCTTGTTGGGGTCCTTATGATCAGGGGACTACTATTTGGGGGGTCGATAATGGGGGTCCCTTGTTGCCGTAAACCCCCCATTTTTGAGGATTTCTCCAGCCCGCCCATCCCCTCGATGCACCAAATTTGGCAGGCCCGTTTCAATTTGGGAGATTTGTCAGGCATGTTAGGGTCCTTGCGAGCGTCAATTTCCTTCTAGGATGTTCGGTAGTACCCTTAGTTACCCCCTGTTTTTGAAGGTTAGGTTCTTTTGCAAACCTTTGGCCGCCGGGCAAACCTCCACCTTAGTAAGTTGCGGGGCCCGCGCAGGCAGGGGAGAAACCGCCCACACTGTCGCTCCTGCAGTGTGTCGCTCTGCACCTTGGTTTGTGCAAGCCTTCCAAGTTAACCTCTGATTATATTAGGGTTAGGGTTTAGGGTTTAGGGTTTAGGGTTTAGGGTTTAGGGTTTAGGGTTTAGGGTTTAGGTATACTCTATGCCCTACACCCCAAACCCCACCCCAGGATTGTCACTGTAGTTTTTTGTGAAAACAACAAGGAAACGCTAAACCCCAAGAAGGAGCGTTGAGTTTCGGGCATAGGGTGATGAGGGGAGTTTGAGGTTTTGGGGCTTGAGGGCCTAAACCCTAAAGC